TATTTGCAATTGTGAGTTCAAAAATCAAATTTATTCAATATTACAAACAATTTTTTAATTTTTGAAAAATCATATAGCTCTACAAAACTTTCATGTACATTACATTGTATTTATTTTGACCTTTTTGCAATAAAATGATAGAAAAATTATATCATGTGCATATATGTGTGATTTTATAATTCATTCAGTTTTTTAGAGAAATATTTGCATATTGTTTGCATAGGCCACAAAATAAAATATTTTAAATTGAAAGTTTCAATATGTGAGCATTTTTTAAAAAATAATTATTAATTTAAAACTAATAACAAATTTCATTACTAATCTAATGCAAAAAAACATTTCAATCACGACATAATATTTTATGCAAAAAATATAAGTGCAATGATTCTTATCCAACATTTAGATTTTGTTCACAACTGAAATCACTTTGAATGTTGATTTGAAACTCATCATAGTCTGAAGCATCATATGCAAAATATATTTTGTCATTCTTCTAAAAATCAATACCTTTGAAATATGACATTTCATTTTATGTATGTGAGATTAAGTAGATCATATGACATCATAAATATTGTTACAGAGATTCTAACATAAGTATTTTTATATAAAGGTATCAAATTGTTAAAAAGATGATATTTAAAGAAACAATTAAAGAAATGCATCTTAAATACACTATTTATCACAATATATTTCATTTTATTTACAAAAAAATATGAATAAAAATAGTTTAAGCTTTAGAATAATTAATACCCATTTAGATCATCAAGTTGAAATAATTATAAATTTTTTTATAATAATGAATTAAATTTGTGTCTCATAAATGAGACAATGAATAATTAATAGTCCATGAAAGATATGATAATATGTAATTTATTGAAATTACATTGAGAGCTATATAATATATGCTGATCTACATCAACAAACAATTTACTCAAATAATTATGTGAAGCAATTTGACTAATTTTAGTATCAACTTCATATGATTTCTGAATACAACATTTGAATAAATAAAAACCCTGCTATGATGATAATTTATATCATATATTATATTATTTTAAATTATCATGAATACTAAAAAAGTGGCAATACATAAATTGTTATTTGATGATTATGATTTGAAATAGTTGAAATCTGAAACTTAGATTATTTTGATATGAACATGATTATGAAATTAATAGTGATTACTTTTGTATTTAAAATTAACATGTAATTTGATATATGTGAGAAATGTATGATATTTCATATATTTTGTGCTCTATAAATTTTAGAAAAACTAGGTTTTACAAAAAAATGTTATTTATATAAAAAATTGGATTGTGATAAATTTAATGATTGTGTAATCCACTCTACGATGCAAATATAGATCAAAAAAACTATTCTCACTTGTAGAAATAAATCATAACACTCTCATTGAGTTATAAGATTGATACGGGTCTAAAAATCATTAAAAAATTATAAATCTTAGCCATTTAAAAAAAACACAAAATTAAGTTAATCAATTTTTTGTATTTTATGTATCTATGAAATAATGAATTATTTTTAATATATATATATATATATATAATCAAAATTATAATATAGATATTCATTGATTTTTCGTAAACGTAAAACTCAAGAAATACAATGACAAAGCATTCAATCAAACAACCAACACAAGAAAAAAAAAATCGTGATTCGTCATCAAGAAGAGTACTATGTATGTTGAGAACGCGCAATGTTTTTCAATGTATTGTCAAAAAAACTTGTTATCTAGGGGAAAAGCTGATGTATTTAATCTACTTCAGACGATTGTTCTAGCTTTTTAGAATCCAATATTACTTCTTAACTGTATTCAAACTCAAAAAATTTCCCCTTCAACTCACGTTTAGTAAAAACTAGTTTCTTTATTTTACATTATTATGCCTAGTAAGTTTTAGACAAAAATCTAGCACAATTACTACTCTTTACACAAGAGATAATTATAACTAAACTCTAGCCATAACATGATAGAGTAATAACACAAAGAGTTCACTGAAAAACTAATAGCATAGTGATAATATAAAATATAGTAACCTATGTAATTACTCTGGGAGAAATTCTAGAAAAAAAATCTAATTCAAGGTACTTCTTTACATGAGAGTTAACTAGAACTAAACTGTAACCATCAAAAGATAAAGTAAATATATAAAGATTTTACTGAAATTATTATGCTAGCATATTATACATGTGCTTTCCATGCACAACCTACATGATAGCACAATTTTATCTAAAATCTTCCAAACCAATAAATTTGGTCAAAGTTTCAGTTGGATTGAGTTTACTGTCAATCTTGACTAGCTTCATCATGAAAGTTTACCGTCAATTTTGACTAGTTCAGTCATTTTATGAGACACTTTTGTTTGAAATAATATGTTTTATGTTTTACTCTACCGTACATAACATGTACAGTGCTCATCTTGATCATTAATCACATAATGATCAAACTCACTCACAATCATGTCTATGAGTAGAGATTTTCCCTTGTCAGTATGGAAATTCTTAGAACTCTTTCCATCTTTCAATGATCTGGGCTAATTGAAAGACAAACATCCAATTTTTCAGTGATTTGTGTTCATTGAAAGACACACACCTATTGACAAAAACCTCACAATCGATTGAAAGCTTGAATTTCCCAAAGTAGGTAATCACGTCGTGCACTTAATGAAGAATATGATATTATACTCAAAATCTCCGACTTGTTTCACGACATCTACGCCCGAAAAAAAGTAGTTACAAAAGCTCTCTAGCAATTTTCTCCATCCGAGTCTTGAAATTGATGTAAATACACCAATCACGTCAAGAGTTTTCCAACAATACCCACTTTGCCTATATTTTAATTAAGATTATTTTAGATGAAATACTTATAAACAAAATATTTGTTTGGACGAATATATCTTCGATGTACAAAATCTTCCGGATGGAGTCTTCTTTACGGACTGACGAACTTTCCTAATCTGTCCGCCATGTGTCGCTTGCATTTGCAACCGTGATTGTTTGTGATCGTGATCCACAACTTACTATCACCCGTGATTGTCGCTCATCGTCGACCGCAACTAATCGTAATAGTCGCCAGCAATTGACAACATCTGCTACTCATTGTCAACTTGGACTGACAACCATCACTGTCACCAAGGTATATAACCCCTATTGAGGTGACCGTCCCAACTTTTTATAATTAGGTTTGAGGTTATTTTTTACTTGGAGTTAACCTCAATATTTTTCATTTTATCTTTGTTTTTTTCTTATTTGGTAAATTTGAGAGACATAAACTTTTAGCTATTTTATTAAATTATGTTTACTTGTAAAAAATATTCAAAGTAATGCTATAAATTGAAAAATCATAACTTTCAAATCCGATCAATACATTAGATTTTAGTATATTTCATTAATCATGTATAGCTTTATTTCATTACTTACGTAAATTATTTATTCTATGGGTACACAATTTTTATCGTGTAATTGTAATTTTTACACCATCTAGATTAAAAAATCATTATATATTTAGAAATTATTTTTTCTAAATATTTTGTAACAACGAAATATTATACTATCTTCATTATAAAAATTCACTTGATAGTGAAGTTTAAATGAAGTTTTTTTAATTATTTTGTCTAATGTTTTAATTCAGACAATTATTGAATATTAAATTCAATGTTAATAATGATCTAGATTTTAATCATCATTTTAATTAATAAACCTACATAACGCATGAAATTATATGTATATAGTTTTTCTCTTGATCTTGTAAGATTTTTGCAAGATCGACATTTCTTTTAGTTTTATAAACTCAGAACAAACTCTCAAGATAGATGATGATTGGTCATTTTTTACGGTAATTTCTAGTTATACTTGAGTTTATGCTAATTATCACTCATACTTAAAAAAACCAGGGTCTGGAATTCCATGTTAGTTCTTCCCAAGGAACGAGATAAAGTATTTTCGCGTTTCTGAAGCATTCAAAGAAACTTACACTCTCCATGTGGATGAATCTGTGTCTTTAATGTACATACTACTACTGGCCAAACTCAAAACAATAGGAGAATTAATAACCACTCTAGGCTCTCTTACAAGCTACTCCAGACCAACTGCATCATTGCTAGAGCCTATGTAATTTTTGTAGGTTGATAGATAATTAACATAAAATGAGTGATAACTAGTCGCTACTTTTTTTTAAAAAGACAACCAACTATAATTAATCATCAAAACAAAAATGTGAATTTTAAAAAGATTTTGTCTATTGTATGATAATCCTAATATTCGCTAATCCTTTAGTGGAAAAGCGAATCACATATTATTGCTAATTATCAAATTTGAAGTGATGGTAATTTGATATAGAAAAACTGAAACAACTTATGCTTAATCTGCTATCAAAACTGAATCAAGATAAGAAAGTTGAGTAACGCTAGAATAGAACCATTGGAATGAAGAGTTTAGCATATGCTCGCCTCGTTCTAAATAGAAGGGGTGAAATATTCCACAAGCAATAAAAAATTATGCTGATCTTCATATACAAGATAAAATAGAGAAAGATTTGAATATTCACAAGGCTACGAATCTAAGTGGTGAGTGACGCTTAAAAGGGAAAATTAAAGGTCAAAATTTAGAAAAGAAACTTATTATACAATTGAGTGACAAATGATGATTTGCACCGTTGAGGTACATGCTCAACCATTAAATGTAATCAAAGTTAATGATTAGTCATGTCGATACAATCTGAAGTTTATTCCACACGTGATGGTGACTTAAAGAGCAGGTGAAATGATTTCACAGAAGTCAGATTTCATGAAATAAATGAGTAAGAAATATTCAGTAAGTAAGTATGTAACAAGCAAGTAGGTACTACAAAACGTACTCTCACATTATTGTTGATCTTCAGGTCGGGATCAGACACTTAGAAGAATAAATTAATAAAGTGCCTCAGGTTTGCGAATAAGCTTAAAGAAAACCGAAACCGGCACCGTGGCCGGCAATGTCATAGCGTTCCCGAAGGAGGCAAACCTCGAAATGCTCAATGCGCTTTACGATCCATGGATGATGACAAAGCGAAAGAGGGGCCGGGTCCATAGATCAGATGTTGTGGCGTCGTCCAAAGCGCCGAGCTGAGCCTAAGGACGTGACATTTTTACAGCGTATGGTTTCTGCGCCGGATTGCAGAGGAAGGGCGTCAAGAGGAGGAGAAAGTATTCTTCTGAGGTTTGCTTGCGAAGTCTGATTCGCTGGCCGACTGACGGACTGTGAGCGTGCGATTCTCCGTGGAGTCTCAAGATCTCAACTGTTGAGGCCTTCAAGCAGGCCAAAAGCCTTACCACGATGTTTGCCCAGAGCATCGGAGCATTAAAAATATGAAGGAGTCCTGTTCAGTGGCGATGGAGTCTTGACGAATGAGACATTGGTTTTTGGTTTATGAGTGGTCTGACTGACGGAGTGACGGACAGAGAAATTGATGGTTGGGAAGTCAGAAGACATGGAAATTAAAAGTGAGATCATTGTGTGTGTCCTGCTCCTGGTTCTGGTGCCCACTTCTGCACTCGAGGATCCGATCACACCGTCTCAGGCCGCAGATCTGCGAGATGAGGTAGGTCTTCCTGTGTGTGCAACGTTTTATCACTCCTTTGTTGTCCCACTTGTTCTACTATTTTCGGTCAAGAATTGTTTAAGGCCATCGTTCCTACTTCAATGGAATCGCAAATTGCTTCAACCGCAGCTTAGATTTGCTATTTTCACCAATCGTGATGAAGCAAGATGTTGTTGTTGAATTTCGTATAGTCAGTCCCTTTCATTGAGCACTACTAGAGTTTCTGAGTTCAGTAAGATTTATAATGTCATCAGTCAACGGTAGGGAGGGAATTGTGTTCATGATTTGAAAGTAAGAACAAGAGCAAATATACTCTTGTTCAGGGAGTCAGAGCAATATCTGCAATTCAATTTACTGTGCTACACTCATTTAATGAAACACATAAGGATATATTTGTTTGTTCACGAATTTTATTTTTCTTGATTGCATGGCATTCCGTGTTACTAGAAAGCAGATGGGATTTTCAAAGCGACGATGATCGTTTTTTTGCCTTTTGTTATCAGTTTCTTTGATTTTTCCAATTTAAATCTTCTTCTCCTGCGAGGGATACGTATCTTCCCCCTGACTAAAGCCCACTTGATTTACTTCTTTTTCATACTAATTCTGATCCGCAAGCATTTGAACGGAGCATTGAAACAAGCCCTTTTAAGGACAGTAGAATCATCTTCTACGGTATATATGCCAATTAAGATAGCCATGTACCTCAAATAACGATCCCACGGAGGAGTTGAATTTGTCTCCAACATTGTCTGGGCAGGTGCGGGACATGTTTTATCATGCTTTCAATAATTACATGGAGCATGCATTCCCAATGGATGAGCTACGACCCTTGAGCTGTTCTGGCGAAGAATCTCTTGGAGAATATACATTGACGCTTGTAAGTTGACCTTTCATGTTTGTAACATAAACAACCAATGCAAGTCGATAGGCATAATCATTCACTTTGATCCCAAATTACAGCAGGGTGTTGTCTATTCATATGAATGAAATAGAGCCTTCGCTGCACCTCTGTCCATCATGTGAACGTTTTAGACTGGTTCAGTTCTCTTGTTCATAGGTGGATGCTTTGGACATGTTGGCTCTTCTTGGTGATCGCGCTAAGTTCACTGAAGCTGTGACTTGGTTAGGAAAGAACCTTCACTTCAATCGGGTAAGCTTTAACTCAGTCTGAACTTCACATGAATTGTTATCTTTTCGTAAAGTTATTCCTTCCTTCCGTATATTGTGAACTCAGTACATGACAAGCGAAATCAACGAATCCCCTTTGTTTCTGTTTATTTTGAAGTACTGACCTACCAATGTAGACATATATGTTATATACATGCTGTAAGACTCAAGTACTTTGACTTCAATATCCACTCCCGACTTCTTGTTTTTTGAAACAAGAAGTCATTGCTGACTATCTGCATGTTGCTTTTTCCATATTCCTTTAGAATAAGACAGTGTCGGTTTTTGAGACTACAATCCGTGTACTTGGTGGTCTTCTTTCGGGACATCTGCTTGCGAGCGATGAATCTACGGTAAGCTTCCTGAAGCACATGGCACTCGAGCTGGTTAGTGGATTGCAGCAGTCTGGACGACATTGTGTCAAGCTCTAGCTTGCTGCTTGTCTAATTCTTGATTATCCTTCAATGGGGAAGATGACAAGTCCAATCGCTCGCATTCGATTCTAGCTAATAGTGCATCTTACATAGACTATCTCCATAACATATAAACAAACCTAGAGAGGACATCGAATTTATAACAGTAATACAAACAAGTGAATTATTTTCTTTTAATCTTAAGTTTATATATTTTGCAGGGGATGAAGGTAGATGGGTATCAAAATGAGCTTTTGAAACTTGCAGAGGCACTTGGCCGCAGGCTGTTACCTGCTTTTGACACCCCAACAGGTGCCTGTCTTTGACTTCCATATGGACATTTTGTTAACCACAGTTGCTACACACGGTTGAAAGCATTTGTAAGAACGATTACAATAATGTTCGGCTGTTTCAGTTACCCTTTAAAAACAGATGTCAGTAGAAAAATTATTCATGTCTGATCTACTGATTGCAGGAATTCCTTATGGCTCAGTTAATCTACTTCATGGTGTCAGTGAAGATGAGAGCCAGGCAAGGCGAGCTCCTCTTGGCAGTGATATATCCTTCTATGTTGTTGAACTGATGTCCTGTTGTTAGGTACCTGCCATCCACCGTCATCTAGTTTATTCATCTCTTCTTTTTACGCAGGGTACTCTCTAGATTCTCTTCACTCGCTAGTCAGTCTCCTTGTTTGGTTGAAGTTCTGGATTCTTGGATGATATGACAGTCTGATAGAAAGTCGGTGTAGTACCAAAGGCGGAAGCAATATGAACGCTGCCAGCGGAGATTGTTCTGGAACATCTTGAATTAATAATTCAAAGTGTTCAAGTCCAAACATTAGGACTAGTAAATGATTGGCGAAAAGCATTTAGAGTGTTTTAGCTTGAGCAAAGTTGAGGCTTCAAATCAGGACTATTCAGCAGATGTGAGCTGATTGGTTGGAGCTTTTATGGAGCTGGAAGATGATAACCATTCCAGATTTCTCCATGTTAAGGATCTTCAGACAATGTTATGATTTCAACTCTGAGTGGATGAGTCAGGATTTGACAGTCTTTATGTTGTCAAGTGGAATGCTCTTGTAACTTTGCCTATCGCTACAGGTGACATCTACAGCGGGAGGAGGCACCTTGACACTTGAGTTTGGACTGCTTAGCCGGTTGACTGGAGATCCGAGTACGTTGAGCTACCTTATTTCCCGTAAATGAAGTTTGACCTCAGTAGTCAATTAAGACTATGTCAGTTCTAACGCAACGCTTGCTGGGTACTTGGTGAATACTGTAGTTTTTGAGACTGTTGCCAAAAATGCCGTGCGAGGACTTTGGGCACAACGTTCGCAACTAGGCCTTGTTGGGGCACATATCAATGTGTTTACAGGGGAATGGACGCACAAGGTATCTAATCTGAAGTCTTTAATATCTAACGAATGCCAGTTATGTATGGTCACCACCGTTACTTTTCTGTTTGGTTAAGGCTATGTAATCCACTTCTCAGATGGAATTGAGTCATCTGCCGGATTCGGTGATTAATAGACTGGACTAAAAATAATCCGGACGTCAGTGCCATTAATACATTGTGTATAATCTTTACTAATGACAATGAGTAAGGTATCATCATCAGTCTAAAATCTGGTTCATGCTGCAGGATGCTGGCATAGGGACAAGCATCGACTCTTTCTACGAGTATCTCCTCAAGGTATAGTCAAGAAAAGCCATCTACATCGAATTGATCAGGTTTTGAATATGCCAGTGGATTTCATGTTCTCGCAACTAAACTTTTGTCAAATCTTTGCAGGCATATCTCCTGTTTGGAGATGACGAGTACTTGTACATGTTTAAAGAAGCTTATAAATCTGTCATGACTTACCTATACACTGATCCATGGTAAGAAATTGCGTTTGCATTTTTTTTCTTAGAAACCTTCTTTGGTATCAATCTGATTTTCGGGCTGCCTTTCTCACCGTCTATTGACTTTTTTGTCTGCTTTGTGCAAGGTACTGGGAGGTGAATATGAACTCTGCTGTCGTGGTATGGCCTTTGTTTAATAGTCTGCAAGCGTTTTGGCCAGGACTCCAGGTAATACATTGTTTCACTTCCGGGATATAAGATGTTCATCTAATCCACTCAGAAGATGTGGTTTGTTTTACATGCCGGTTTGCAAACCAGGGGACACAACCTGGCACAGAAGATGAGATTGGTTTGGATCGTACTGTTGCTGTGTTAACTTCATATTAGGATAAATTGAACCGTCCTTCAATTGTGATCGGGATGATATTATTGAAGGTGCTGGCGGGAGATGTTGACCCTGCCATGCGTACCCACAAAGCATTTTTTGCTGTCTGGAAAAAATATGGCTTCACACCTGAGGGTTTCAACTTGGCTACACAGGGTGTCCAGGTAGGATCGGGATTTACTTTTGTGATTTTTCGTTTGGTTTCATGTCGATTCAATTTCAGAATTGTGAGTTGCTGATAATCGACTAGAATGTGATGAGAAGTGGTGTCATCTGAAATGAATTTTGCTCTGCAGCCAGGCCAAAGAAGCTATCCCTTGCGCCCAGAGTTAATTGAAAGCACATACATGTTGTACAAAGCAACTGCAGATCCTCAGTGCGTAATTATACTACTTCGGATTATCATTTACTTGAGCTGGGGTTGTAGACATATGTATACGCAGATTTAGTCATGCTTCTGAGAGTGGCCTATGTGGAATTCACGATGTAGTCTTTCATTGCTGCCAATGAAAGACTACATTCATTGGCAGCTGTGAATTTTAACTTGATGACTTGCTCCAAGTCTGCAGCTATCTGGAAGTGGGACGAGACATCACTGCAAGCATACAGTTTTATGCAAGATGCCCTTGTGGGTACTGCCACATTGGAGATGTCGAGACACGCGTCCAAGAAGATCATATGGAGAGCTTTTTCCTCGCTGAAACGGTAGGTTCAAGATCAAGAGAAAAATTGTGCGAAACTTGACCTTTGGCTCTCTGTACAGTTTAGTACTGATGTTTTTTTATAGAAGAGACGTGATTATTCTTACATCAGTGTGTTGGTTTGCCAGGTCAAGTACCTGTGGCTTCTCTTCGACTTAGCTGCCGGTGGTGATAACCTTGTAGAGACTGGCCCCCATCTGTAAGACTCGAAGAACCTTCGTAAATATCTTGATCGTCTCATGGATGTGTTGCCTGCAGCTCTGGTCCTTATATGTGTTGCTGGCTTTTCCAGCTTTCCTCGTTTCTTCTTCCTTGCTCACTCGGTCAGTCCCTTTAGGCAACGTCCATTCATACTTCATGCCTCCTGTTGTTGTTTTCGGTCTTAGGCACCGTCCATACAGGGCGTGGTTGATTTGGTCTTCTGGCCAAGACAGGCACTTACAAGTGAATTCAAGTGATTGAAGACGACTTTCTGCTGCAGAGATCGTACACGTCTTCGTAGCCACACATTTATGTTGGCCGAACAGATAGAGTGACGATTGTACCTCAATTTTGCTGCAGATATATATTTAGCACAGAGGGGCATCTGTTCCCCATGACGCCTGAAATAGCTCTACGCTCAGATTACAAACTAGTTCCAACATTCCTCCACGAGAATGTTCCAGATGCTGGTCAACTTGGAGACGAAGACAAAGGGACGACATTTGCGGAACCACATATTCCTAGACTGTTCAACTCGCTCATCAGCAGAGTCAACAAAAGTGGCTTCGGCTTAGACATGGACTGCACCGACGAGTCTGATTTGGCCTACAGACCACTTGAGGTGACGATCGCACCTGTTTTACCTGATTCGCTTCTCTTGCAGTTTTTGGCGACACAAGAACGACGAGTGTAATAAAAGCTTTGCATTTAGGAGGCTGCTTGGAGTTCTGTAGAGATGCTGTTTTCTTGCAATCTGGCAAATATCTTTGAGATAATGATGCAATCTGGCAGATAGCAGCGATTCTGTTCTGAATCAGATGTGGTGTTCCTGAACTACTGAGGCTTGCTTGTGGTGCTTCTAAGTTCCGATACATGAAGCTTGGGAGGAGTGTGATTTCCTTCGTAATGCTGACACATCGTCTTGTTCCGCTTCACTTTGCAGGGAATTTGTCAAAAGTTGAGTATGTGGAGAAAGTTAGCCGCCTTTTACCTTGCGGGTCTGCCTCGGATGGAAGAGAAGCAGGCGACGGAGGGCGAGCCTACCGATTTCAAGGAAATCAACGCGAATTCGGTCAAGTCCTCTCGCGAGACAAAATTTATTCGTGACCTTCTTGTATCTATAGTTCATGTTCGAGAGGAACCACAGGTCGTCAGTCAAGAGGCAGAAGATACACTACCCTTGGACAAAGCGGAAGGCATCAGAGTTAACCTTATTACTGAGCTCACTCCAGAATATGAAGCTGTCGAAGTTGTGCAGACTTTTCAGAAAGCGACAGAGAGTAGTGTCGATAGCGGTCTGAATCTAGAAGATGAAGATGCTGAAGGTGTGCAGCCTTTTCAGAAAGCGACAGAGAGTAGTGGCGACAGCGAGGTGAATCTAGAAGATGAAGATGCTGAAGGTGTGCAGCCTTTTCAGAAAGCGACGGAAGTAAGCGTCGTCGTCGTTGAGGATATTGTAGAGAATCAAGATGTTGACGGTGTGCAAAGATTCTCCAGTGTCGAGCTTAGTACGAGAATTCAATAGAGGAAAATTGAAAAGCAATCATATTTTATTCAAGTACAAAGCATACAGTCAGAGCCAGGTTTCTTGGCAGTACTTCGGAGACAGCGTGCTCTTCTGCTGCCAAGTACGATTCAAACAAATTGTATAGATTCACAATGTGTATCATCTACAACTGCTTAAGGTAAACATCAATTCAACGGCGTATCGTCTTGGACTCCAGAATATTTGAAGTCAAGGTCTGAGTTTCAGTATGAATTTGGCCTGCTATTCTGAGGTTTTGACGCTCTCGTCCAGCCTGAGGATGATGTGACTATGGGACTTCGCGCTTGAAACGGATAATGGGATTGAAGAGCAGGAGAAACAATGTCAGACGCTTTCGAAATTCGGCCGAATCGAAGTGGGCCCTTCTGTTTCTCTTGCTCGCTTTGAGCTCACTATGAAGATAGTGAGCTCACAAGAGAAGGAGAGGAGAAGAGGAGGACGAGAATGCAAATAGGGAAGTTGGAGGATCATGTAGACTCTGTAACGGTGTGAACGAAGTCCTCTCATACAGCTTTGTTTACAAGTATATTCGTCCACATGGATTTAAAATCGATGCGAAGGAGGACTCGGAACAAGGAACACAGTCTGAGAGGGAGACCTGGGGGTGAGCCCTGGACAACTCTGTTGACTAAGAAGGAGACTTGAGAGAAAAGTCTGAAACATGAAATTTATTCAGCTCATTGTGGCGCTAGTAGGTTTGGTAGGATTGTCGGACCCTAGAATAAACAATTGAATTTGTGTGTCGCATGATTCTGGTAACTCTAAATTACATCATTACCCCCATCCCGTCTGCCGATGTAGGTTGTAAGTTTTAGCTATAATTTAGCAACTTTATCGCTAAGACAAAGAAATGTGATTCAGTAATCAAGCTGTCATTCCGGACCCGACAATTCACAAGCTTAACCAGCCCAAAACCTTTCCGACTGAAGATAAAAGCTAATAACGAACTCATAACAAGTACATTGACATATCTCTATCTGTAAAGAAGAAAAGGAAACGTAATCGTTATTCTTGTTTTCATGAAGATTAGTGTGCGAAGAAACTATGTCATAAGTAGTGCAAGATTGAGATACTAAGAGAGATGTATATATCAAGAACCTAGTTAGTCCAAGATAACATCATCAATATTTTCCAACATTGGTGGATTGAATCTTTTAAGAATAGAGTTTTATTGTGAAATACAATTGGCAATGAGATGATTAGGATAGTCTGCTCTGTGTAATAATTTCTAAATTCTTCAAAGAGAACAGTAGATTCCTTGCCAGTAGAATACCTTCCCATTTTGTGAATATGACTAAATAATATTAATTGCCATATATGATAAACATGTAGGAGAAAATCATATAATCATCAACATTACGCTCAATTGTCATCACATTGTAAATGATCATGTGCATATCATTATAGAATAACATTTAAGACAATGACTAATACAAAGTAAATAATGAGTCCAATTTGATCAAAGTTGATAAAACTTCATCATTGTAAGAAATTTTAATATTTTTAAATAATTATATGTTTAAAGATTGAAACTTTTGAATATTCAAGACTAAGTTCAAAGATTGTTCTGATTTGAATGTGATGGATTACAGTTTTCATATATCAGTCAAATTATGTGATTTGATAATTTAATGGTTATTATTATAAAATATAAATTAATTAATTTTTTAATTAAAAATTAAATTTACTTCAAAATATTTTGTAAAAAAACTGAAAATTAATATATTAAACCAATTAAAAATATTTGAATAATAAAATAAATTTCAGCATTAAACTTGATGATAAAATATATTTTTTTGCCATACATTGCAATATGAATCAAATTAAATATTTTCATAATTTAACAATGATATATTTTGAAATAAATAAACAAAATATGTTAGAATCTTTTTTCTTTCAAATTTTAGAATTTTTATGAAAAAGAATAAAAATGGTTTTGTATTATTTCATCATTTTTTTATAGTTTTGAATAAAAAATGCAACTATTTATTGACTTTATATTTCAGTACTTTCTATTTAAAATAGACTGTTTAGATGTTGACGTCTTGCATCAACTCAAAAACTTTATCTTTTCCGTGATTTAAATTTTCCATTATTGGATATCATCATGAAGACTTTAACAATGTAGGCTTGTAAAATTCTTGGTTCAATTTTCTCACTTTGAATTATCATTGACATTGTTTTATGTGTTGTTTGATCAAATAGAATATCTTTTCCATTCACAAGAAAAAGAGTTATTTATTTGATGGTACCCCATCGTAACCTATATTGCTTTATGGGACCTATCAAGTTTTGTTATACACGATGGGACCCCATTGACGTCACACCGTCGTGAATTTCTAAAAGATGTTCTTGTATGTTAAAGCTCGCATCATATGCAAGATTTAGTGGGAAACTATGAATTGTGACATTGTCACAAGTGCAAAAAGATTTTGGATTTTGAGCTGTGGGAAATTCAACTTGGTGAGCAGCAGCAAAAGTGTGGAAGCGAAGGACTTGTGAATTCAAGTGTTAGTTAACAAATTCTGGTACAATGGGGAAGACTCGGACGAAGAAGCTCGGCTCCGATTGCGCTAATTGGAGATTTGAAAGATTTAATGATGGACGAAGAATGAAGTCTTGTTGTCACAATTCCACTCCATGCTAATAGACGTGTAGGCAGTATAATTTAATGATGGACGAAGAGTGAAGTCTTGTTGTCACAATTCCACTCCTTGCTAATAGACATGTAGGCAGTATAATTTCACCGTATGTTCATACTAGAATATGGATGACGTGAATCTTCGATGGCTACTATAGTATAAATCAAAACTTAAAGGTTTCGATTAAGCCGTTTAGGTTATGTTGGGATCCCATCAAGTAGATACCTCCATGAAAAGGCAAATAAAATGATGACATGAATTTTTTGGTCATGTTGCATAGTTGTTAGAATTCACCAAATGATTTTTATCTTTGAAGTTGTATCCGTGAATTGAAATTAGAAAGTTTCATTTTCACAATGCATTAATTTAGAACTTTAATCTATTTTAAATTTCATACGTATAAAACATGGAAGACTCCGATTTTTTAAATAGAAAATGATTTATTTTTCAATGATCTCAAGAAATTGTTTCCCAGAAAATATACTCAATGATTTCTCGGCAAATCAATGCAATCCGAGGTTCAATTACATAAAATAACGAATATTGCTAGAAAATTGTAGATATATTATTATTCTTACCTATTCTAGAAATATGAAATGAACACTATTTAAAATGTGAAGATGTGTGATCATGAATTTCGACATTTAAATCCCTATTGCTGTAATGTGATAATGATCAATCTATCCTCTGTATTCGTTCTGTGATTGTTGTTTTCATCTATTCTATCGTACGTAACTTCGGGTACATCAGATAAATTGGAACCATACAGAGAAATTAGCATGGCCCTGTGCAAGGATGACACGCACAAATCAAAAAATTATCCAAATCTTTAACCTGTAGCATCTCACATCAGCAATATCTTTTCCACCGATGTCAATGCATCACACAGAGCCAATGGCGGTTCCAAAGGAGTGAGTACAACATTCTTTTGACGATCGGAAGTTCCGACGGACACCAGGATGCTCAGAATGAAACGAAAATTGCGGCTTTTCGCGAAGGGAAGACGTGCTTTCACAGTCGGGACTTCCTGACTTCGTTCTTCGATGTCCTCTTGCTGCAAGGACGGACGGACGAACAGAACCCGTCAACCGCGAACTGTCCGTCGGTCGGGCGTCGTCGTCGCCCTTCTGGCTTCCGAATCGGGGAGCCGTTTGGGCAAGGAGCAAGGCGCTCGTCGACGGAACTTCGAGCGACGAGACAACTGGAAGGAAGCGTCAGCGAGCAATTCGAACCGGAGCGTTTGAATGTGGCGAAATTCGAACTCGGATTTTGAATGGGCCTGAGCGAGGGGCGACGGCTGTGCTGCTGATGGGACCGGCATCGAGGCCGTGAGTGCAGCTTGCGCATGGCAATTTCGCTGCGGGCGTCGTCGACAGGATTGGGATTTTGCTCGATGCTCGAGGGGAGGAAGTGCTCGGGGCGAGCTCAGCAGGGTGGAGATGGATTGTCAGAGCAGACGTAGAAGGATCAGGACTACGAAGTGCATTGCATTGCGTGCGGGATGGTGATGTGAAAGATGATGGACGACGACGATGACTGGGACTTGAGCCCGGAGGAGCTCGATGCTCTGGAAAGAAATGCTGCCACCCAGCTCGCTGCACAAAAGCGGGTCACGTCTCTCGCTGCCCCTGCTGCGCAGGCCTTCTCCACTTCCTCCTCCTCTGTTACATCGGAGTCTCCGAAAAACATTCAGCAGGTCCATGCAGACCCCCAAATTGATTGCCCGACCAAACGACAAGAGTTGGGGTCTAGCTGGATCTACACCTCTCCCTCAAAGGGTGCAGGCAGGTTACTGAATATCAAAGTATTTCAGGATCAGGGAGGAAGAATAGCATGTGAAGCCCCTTACAATTCGGTCGGTGAATCTTCAATCACTTACTGTCAATCAATGTTTTATAGGTGTGCATCATGTCTTCTGCCAAGTTGACCGCAATCGGTAGCTTCCCATTCTGTTTTCACATGTTTACACTGTGACGGCTACTGAATTCGAGTTACTAACGTAATCCGGTCCTCCGTGGTTTAGCATCTTGTGGCAGCACTGAAGACTGTTCCGGGTCGCAATTGGGACGTGAATCGGAAGTGAGTGAACTCAATGCGTTCTGTATACGTGTATAAGATTCAAATTGGGTAATATCAGGCTGCTCAAACTTGATGGCACTCATCGGAGTTTTTTTTACGCAGTCACACAGTCAGCTCAAGCTTCGTGAACTGATGACCTACATTTTGGCCCAGGGTTTGGACTTATCCCGAAGCTGGGCTTGGCGATGTTGTGAAAGCAATCACGTCACTTTCCCACCTGAAACTTGCAGTACGTAGTCATGGACTTGTAAACAGTTTATTATTCTGTAACTATCAACGTGCCGTCTGCCCGCGGTGCTTTTATATTTGGCATGATTCCTCAAGAAGAAAGTATGCACGAAAGTCAATTTTTCAAATGTTGGTGTTCAGCTGTGTTACATTGACATTTCGTCTGATTGAAAATCTGGACAAAAACGAGTTTGCACGTGTCATAAGTACTTCTTCTCCCACGTTCCCGCAATTCTCTGAGCTGATTATTTTTTTTAATACAGGTCGAGGTCGCTCCTCCACTGGCTGTAAACGTCGCGGTTTTGAATTCGTCTGCATCAGGTAAAGTGTAGTTTATTTTGATGTGCTACAACCGCTGGATTGCTGCTTAGGTATCGTTTGCCCAGCAAGCAGATGGACGTGTCCCTGCTTGCACGATTTTTGGTTTATGATTGGGATGTGATTCCTCGCATGACGCATGCTATGTCATGAACATTCAATGTCACCCCTCAGTTCTGTAGACCAATCTGTTTCACGATTCAGCAGGCAATTATTTGTTCAGGCGAGGAAGATGATACCATTAAAGACTTGCATTCAGTTGTCTTCTGTCTTCCTATGGATCTATAAGTGACGCACTTACACTTTCACACTGGTGTCCTCGTTTGGCTCTGCAACTGTCAGCATGTACCAGTTTAAATGAAGATGATGCCGAAGTGTGGTGTACTCCTCCTCAATCTATCCCTTCGATACAGGAACCTGAAACGAGAGATGTTCATAATTTATCACCCAGTGTTTCTCAGTCTCGTTTGTCTCAACCTCAATCTCATGTTGGTCTGAAGCATGCTCCGAAGAAGGCATGTTATGTTAAACTTTTCCTCCATAGTTGTGGGAGGATTGCTGCCAAGTGCGACTATGATACGGTATGACACGGATCTGATGATCCTCACTACTAATTTTCCGTCTTTGGATATGCTTTATTTTCTTTGAGAACCTTTAATAACTATGTGGATTCTTTGCTTCAGTTCTTCAGCTGAAGACTTACTCCCTAAAACTTCCTCGTGCTTTCACTTGTGACAGCAAGTAGTAGCAGCGTTGAAAAGAATACCGAGGGTAGACTACCTCATGAAAGAACGGTGAGTTTAATGACGAGACCTTGTTTTCAACGACTCATTATAAGTGAACGTACTTGTATCCTGCTGAAATTTTGCACTCGGTTGGCTTATTCGATCAACCAAAAGCTGGTGACCTGCAGCATTCGAAGGAGACAATGTTGATATTGTTGTCAGGCCCTAAACGCTTCAAGAAGTCATCCTTTAGATTTCCATGCATGATTCTGAGACGTGAGCCGAAGACTGTATCAACTGTTTCAGTTCGATGCAGGCTTTCGCTTTTAGAACGTTCTTAGAGCACGAATTACTTGCAGGAAAGATTATCAACAGCATTAGTGCAATCTAAATAGCAAGGTTTACAGACTTCATTCACATCTACACATGAAGACCTCATTTTGCGACCCAATTGTCAGGCTGACATTCGGTCTGTGTAGAATTTGAAGAAGACAATTAAAACGGAGGTGAAAGTCAGCCGTACGCTTACATTTTAGCCTTGATATTGTTTGCAGGCTGTGGATGTTCCCCTTTACAAATCTGTCCGAAGCGGAAGAAATATTAAGATCTTCGACAGATCGTGTTGTTACTGTAAGTATTATTTCCGCTACTTTGTGATTCAAAGACCGACATTTGACGATTTTCCATTTTGATTCGGAGCAAGATGTAGCTTTCACAATCGTGTTCTTTTTTAATCTTGATTCTGACTTGATGGTGATGCATTAAAAGGTAGAACCGTTGGAGCCTATTGTGAAACGTGCACTGGAAGCTACTGCGGCTCTTCCTGATCTGCAAGGTGATCCGTGATTTAACAGGTCTTTTTAGAGTTTTCAGTATTTCCCATCCAGTGCGGCGCTAGTTAATGAGGGTCACTATTCGAAGATAAGGCTGATTCACATGTGAGTGACTATTTGATATGCAAAGTTTTTTCTTACCAACCTGTGTGTTGCAGATAGATATCGGCTTGTTGATGAGAAGTTGAAGAAGACCTTAATGGAGTTTCAAGTTGAGGGAGTGAGGTAAGGCTATTCTGATTTGGTGCTCACTTCGTTTCATATCGAAACATCTGTTTTCTAGGTAATTCTCTCCTATAATTACTTGTCCATCACTTCTTCTTGGCTTTACTCAAATGCTTCCTAGAGCAATGTTATTTTTTATCCACGAAAGTGTTCAACCATGTCAAGAAAAAATATATGCCATTGGATAATCTTATATGCCATTGGATTACATACTTTCAAAGCCAACTTTTGTAACATTAAAGTGCAAGAGTATCTTCCGCTACACAAAATTTTACGTAAACCTTGACACATCTAGCTTATTGGTGTTCTATTCACTCTTTCTCCGATATTTGTGACCCAGATTTGCGTTGCAGCATGGAGGTCGAGCACTCATTGCTGACGAAATGGGTCTCGGTAAAACTTTGCAGGTAGTGCAAGTTTCTCCTACAGTTCATTTCTGCTGACTCATTGTCTGATCTTATCGAAGCTACCCGTGGTTGAGTTTAGACTGTGCACATCAGATGGGCTATTTTCAGGAGATGACAATAATCCGATCCCTGTGTTTACTTGAGGTAGTGCCAAAAACTATGTTGTGAAACCGGAAATCAGTACACAGACACTGAATTAGAACAGCTTCAACTTGATTTGCCACACGTATAACAGTTGGACATCATAAATGAGCAACAAGGTATATATAAATTAATTCTTCAAAATTTTCATCTCTAAAAGGTCTATTCAAATTACGGCTTGTGGACTATTCGTATTCGTTTGGACTACCTCAAATTCTTTAATTAGCTAGATCTTAAAATGTGAACGGAGGACTGGAAGCAAATTGCGACAACAGCTATCAGGACCAGATTTACAATGCCTAGGTTACAGCCTCTGCTGCTATGTAACTACTTTTCATCGGCTAAGGGCTGAAAGAAACTGTATGTTGTGCAGGCGCTGGCGGTGGTTTCATGCTTGGAAGAAGATTGGCCCGTTTTGATTGTAGTACCTTCATCTCTTCGTGTGCATTGGGCAAATGTATTGAACTTATTCGCATAACCACTCTGCTATATTTGGGGCTCTTGTGTCGCTGAGATGAGTTGATAGCTAATGATTTACCTTGTACTGGTTTTCGTTCTCAACATGGAGACCAAACGCAGGTGTTTGTAGAGCTCTATTACCGTATTGACTATTAGAAGAGTTTTCAATTTGTTGATGATATCTCGTTGTTTTTTGATTCTGCAGATGCTGGTGACCTGGTTGAACGTATCTCCCAGTGACATAACGGTAAATTATGCTACCCCTTCTGTTGTTTGTTATAGACCAAAAGCGGAAACTTGTGCTCTCATCGTGTTCATGCTGTCTAACGTACAGACTTTAGATTGACTTCTTACCTTGTTGGGGCTACAAACAAGACTCGAATCTCAATGCTGAGAGTCGTTTCTATGACTATCACCAGGAATCATGCGTTTCATTTGTATTTGCAGATTGTTATGTCACAAGGCAGCAGTCGTGGCGGCTACAACATTGTGCGCACCACTGGCAAACAAAAACTCCTCATCAATGGACTTTTTAACATTGTGTCTTACGACGCTCTTAGCAAGCTGGAGGATATAATAATGAGAACTGGATTTAAAGCAAGTAACTCTCTCTCCTTCTCCTTTCTCTTTATTCTACTGAAACTTCATCAAGCATCCTCGTCAGGGACTTGTTTAAAATACTCACTTAGTGCCAATCTTAGCTTCTTCAGTGCGTGCTACCTACATGTCGTGCTGTAGTGCGTGCACATGGGACTGGGTCTCTCACTTGCACTGACCATGGCTAAGCTCCTACATGACGCAGATCGTAATTGCGGATGAATCTCATTATTTGAAAAATCCTCAAGCGAAAAGAACGAATGTCTGTGTTCCTGTGTTGCAGGTAAGTTATGTTTTGTGAATTGATATTCTGAAGTCTGTTGCAAAAGCTGTTTATGAGTTTTTCCAATGTATCACCAATACTGCATTAGTCTCTTATTGACTCTCTAGGTAAAAACCATAGCTTGCTCCTACTCCCCCTTACCCTCATTGCCAACGTCTTCAAGTTCCAAAGTAATCATGGGATATCTGCCACCAGGTCCTTGTTGACTTAATACAAGGTCTTCAGTTTCAAAACACTCCTCAATGTCTTCAGTAACTTCCAGTAGCCATAGAACCTTGGAACCGCAACAACCTCAAGTGCCCATTCACCATAAAGCGAGAGTGTTCATAATACTATCAACCTCAGCAGCCCATAACCTTTTGTTGTGAACTATGCTGTAATAGTTTATCCCCCTTGTGATTATGATGCAATATGACTTTACAGGAAGCTTGCTACAAATCCCTTTTACCCGCAATGAGGTAGGCTTTGAGAGTATCGCTAGAGTAAAACTCTAGATAGCACTCCGACATTTGAATGTAGACAAACTAAAAACTCAACTAGAATGCTAACTCAAATCCCGTTTGTTAGTAATCCAACACTGAAAGATAACACCCTACAGTGTTATCCGTACTGAAGAAATGATCAATTGCAAGGTGTGTGCATTTACATATGTTATATACATAGAGAGAGAGTTCATGGCTCAAACTTGAACATGAGGTTCAAACTCCAAAGTTTAGTCTTGAAGTGTCTGATGCCTGCCAAAGCCTGACTTAAGCCCTAAGTAAACTTTTAGATACTAACTTTTACCTTTTCACAATTGCTTATTTACTGCTAAATACAGAAAGAAATTGACTATGGGATTTCAATTACATCATGTTCGTCAATTTACTATGAGCATGTGAGGCCGATCGAGAAATGCTTTCATATACTAGCAATCAATGTTTCAGAACTTGATGATCTTCGTTGCCTTTTTCACAGAAAGCAAAGTATGCTCTTTTACTTACAGGTACACCTGCCCTATCAAGACCTATCGAACTCTTCAAGCAGGTATTGCCTCACTTTTAATGATCTTCCGTTCGAGGCTCTGACAGTTGGGTTTGAGGGGTCACTGACATCACCTTTTGGATGGGCTGAACAACGCGCATTCAATGCAGAAATATTATAAAATCCAATTATAAACAGGAAGAATCGGTGTCTTGTCGTTTATTACCAAGCACTTGTTCTTGTGCTCATAGTATTTGAATGAGATTTTAACCATAGCACAGTTACGCTTTTATAGGACTCTAGGCAATGTAATTTTTCATAAAACTACTTCATTGTTGAAACTGAGGATGCGAAATGGTTGCTCCATGATGCAGCTCCAAGCTCTGCAACCTTCTGTGTATCAGAAGATCAACGAGTACGGTGCTCGTTATTGTATGGGAGTAAGTTGTCCTTACTTTTGTTGATACTCCATCTTTCTTTCTTCAGTTTGAAAGTTTTGGGATAAAAGTTTCTCAGACTTGAACATACCTAAAAGAAGTATTTGAATTTATCTCAATGCACAGGGTTTTTTTGGTGTCTGGCAAGGGTCTTCAAATCATGAGGAACTTCATGCCTTGGTCAAATCAACAGTGATGATTCGGCGGCTGAAGTTGGATGTACTCAAACAGCTTCCTAAGAAACGTCGTGAGCAGGTAATAATGCCTGGTTTGCTATTTTTTACGGAGAATCCAACTCATTTAATCATGTCGTTCCTCACCAAACAACTGACTATTGTACCTCACATTGTGGCCTTTCCTAGATATTTATGACGCTTGATGAGAAGGCTATGAAACAGATTCGTGCTCTTCTGAATGAGGTAAGACCCCTCTCTTTCGAAGTCTTTAAAATTCTCTCATAGATGTGAATGAAGCTCGGTATACATACAGACCTATCCCTGAGGATAGTTCCCTGCGTTGGCTATATTCCGTGATAACCATATTTGAAATGATGCGAGTGATTGAATAACTCAAAATTTTTCTTCTTGTAGCTAGACAGCATCAAGAGACAAGTTCAGATTGCACTTCAACTGGGGAAGAAAGAAGAGGTTGGCGAAATGAAGATAGCCGAAAGGTCACTTATCTCAAAGGTTTATCACCGTACAAACCGTTTCTTGTGTCCATTGTATTTCTTACCTCGAACTCTAACTTCAGAATAGAGGAATGTACTCTTTTGGGCCCATTACATACTCTTCCACCTGCTTTATACTGGTACTATGGCCTCTAAAGGTCCTCAACTTTCAAGCATAAGAATTATCTTTTTAAGGAATTTATCTTAATGGTGCTGAGGTGAAATTTGCATCTTATATGCTAAACTTTTTCTGAAAATGTCTTTTTTTTCAAGTTTCTCACGTGTTCGTGAACAGATATACACTGAGACAGCTGAAGTCAAAATACCAGCAGTTCAAGAATTCCTCGAGACAATGCTTGAGGTCTAGTCAGTTCTCTTTATAACATTTTCCCACATGTTAGTTATTGTTTCAGATTAAGTTGGAATGTTTTCCTGCATTTTGCTACTTGTTTGGTGATACCGTCTTGGGATGGTATTTTGCTCGTAAGGGAAAACCTCTCTAGGATTGTTGAGGATTTCGTTATCAGTGCTAGAACTTTCTTTGCAGGTTTTTCTTCACCAATATGATTACCTGTCAATTTTTCAGTTTCTGAGGGACGAAGTTTTGTAGAGAATATCTTCAAACCATTCTGTTATGCTACGTTTGCACGCTTGTCATCAATAATTTGTTGATCGTAAGTTTCGTGATGGTTATTTTTTCTTATCCGTGGGACAGGGAGGCTGTAAATTTCTCGTGTTCGCTCACCATCAAGTTATGATGGATGCAATTCAAGAGTTCTTGCAGGTACTGTACTCGACTACAAGTCTTCTTTCATTCGACTTTCTTAGAGATGTCCCCTCCCCGATTCTTATCCTGCTGTTCTCTTTCTGATTTCTTATGTTTTTATTTTCTTTGACTTGTCGCAGAAAAAAAAAGTAAAGTTTATTCGAATTGATGGGAAGACACACCCAGCGTCGAGACAAGACCTTGTGAAAACCTTCCAAGAGAAAGAGGATGTCAAAGTAGCTGTGGTGAGTACAATGTGCTATGCATTTTGTAAAACCTTATATATATGGATGCTTTCACTGTGTTGAGCTGGACGATACGCTCCTCCTCAACCCTTGGTTTTATGTTGGAACACATACAGCTTGGAATTCGTGCTGCCGGCGTGGGTCTTACTTTAACGGCGGCAAGCACTGTCATATTTGCCGAAATGTCATGGACACCAGGTGATCTAGTCCAGGCTGAAGATCGGGCTCATCGTATTGGACAAGTGAGTGGTGTTGTCTGGACAGCGGTCTCCTGTGCATTATTTCACTGACATTTTACATGGGTATTGTACAGCATTCAGAGAATTCGTTAGTAAGGATAAGCGTTCATTTGTTGAGGGAATCTATAGGACTGGTGTTCAAGAAAATAGTGGATAGTTATGGTATCCAGTACCAAGATTCTGTCCCTCGTCATTGTGTCGTTCATCACGTGGTTGAATTGACAGGAATCGGCTGTCAACATCTACTATCTTCATGCGCATGATACCATAGACGATTTTATATGGTAAATCACATCCGATAATTAACTCATTGTTTTGCTACGATTCTTCATTCCCCTCGTAGACCTATCGTTCCCACTTATGCCTTGTTCATGGTCCAGTGGTTCATAGATCTGTCCTCGTAGACCTCCACAGTATCTCCCCTGAAGGCATATGCCTCAGTCGTGTACTTGCATTGCACATCCACGATTTGTCCACGTCTCAGATCCTGGGGTATAAAGGACGTTCAGGCTCGTGGTTTGCGAAGTGTTTTAGTGGTTCAAAGCAGGAGGAATGATGCTTAGAAATTTTATTCACCGAAGAGTCAATTTCGTACATTAGTGGATTCTAGAGATACGTGACTTGGTCTTCCAATGGGTTGCTGTATGAAAACTCTGAAGTACTACAAACTGGTCCACTTGGCAGGGATGCTGTTCAGCACAAGCTGGAGAATCTCGGTCAGGTTAGTATTGTTCTGTCAACGCTTCAACTTCCTGAAAGTATGAAATTATACGAATTATACGCTTTGCTTGAATCCGATTCGGTTCAAGCTCGTTACCCTTTATGCTTGTTTTCCATGACAGCTCATGCAGGCATTGATAACAGCCATGTTTCACCTAGAGTACTTGATGCTATAGACCTTCGTTGTCTGTTCCCTCACTTTATATCCTATACGTCCGTTTATCAAACGCCTTGCGTAGGATGACGTATGAAATTTTGTTCAGTAAAATATATTTTATTTTCCGCGGCAGGTTCTGGACGGGCAGGAGGATAACACGATGCAATTTGTGTCCAATTCAAAAGAGGTTGAGAGTGGATCACAAACCCAAGAACAGTCCACTCTGCATGACTATATGAAACCCTGTACCAAGTATTCAGCAACGGACCGAGACAGCACCATTACCCCGGCTTCAAATCAGTCATCGACAACGCCGATGACTGGCTCAAACGAAACAACGAATAGACTAGATAGTTGTTCTTCCAAACGTAAGCGAGAATATGAACAAGCAGCAGAGGTCATCATAGATTTGGTTGATTCACCTGAGAGATTTCAACCACATTTGGCACTCGAGAATGTTCACGAGGTGGATGGAAAATTCGGCCTTAACTAAATTGCAGAAGGGCGGACAAGGTTCTGCCATCCATCACAGCAGAAGAGGAAGTAGAGGTTATCTCAAGAATCTTTCAAAGCTGGCCAACTTTGGTCTGTACGGACGGTTTTCTGAGGTTTAATATACGAAGGGTCCATCGTTGGTATTGAGGTGTGCTGCCGTAGTCACCGACTTGGATTTCAGATGGCGATACTCATCGTTTTGACGCATGACCACAAGATTGCAGTTCAACTTGAGAACATCACCCACAGTAGGTAATGCGGTTGTCAAATCTGTGCTTCCTCCGATAGTACTGCATTGTTTGCAAGCCGTCTCTGATACCATTAGGTTGTACTAGCCTGCCTACTGCGAGGGGCAGGGCAGGGCAGGGCAGGGCAGAGCAGATCAGATCCCCTTCAAGTCTACTTTTGTCCGCGGATGGACCACTGTGTGTACATGATACAGTGTACGTTAAGGCGAAAACGTCATGCTCGATCGACCCATGAGGGAACTTCGAATCGACAGTGTTGATGGTGCCCTGACCGAAAAGCTATGGTGGTCAAACTCGAGGTGCAATCTGTGGTTGCATGCGAGGCTTCGTCCTAGTCCCGGCAAGGCATCAAAGAGGTGAGCTTCAATATAATAAACAGCATTGGAGAAGTCTAGGTTCCACTGCTGTCCACTTGAAGGCCCGATAAGTTGATTCTCCAAACACACAGCTAAAATACCACAACGGTCACAGATAAGCAGGTCGTATGAACCCCGGGTTCGGAGTCAGGGCTGCCCCTCTAACGGTAATGTACTGTCTGTCTGTCTGAACGTAAAAGCAGAACGAGTTATACCAACGATAGGGCTGTCAATGAGATTCCACATTTGTACGCACCTGCCTTTTATATATACATGACTTTTTTAAGTGTTTAAAGAGAATATCCTGTTTGCAAAGCCAACTCACTACATGAACACGCCCTCCCGAAACAGCTGAATCATTCAGGGAAATGATGAGAACGTCTACTTTCTCCGCGTATATTCTCCCGGTTTTATGGGCGCATCAACGTGGATTGGACGTTGGTAACAAACCAAAACTACAGTTGAGTTCGCTACTTGACATAACATGGAAGGGAGGAGGGGATGAATGCACACACTTTTATTGATTGATTTCTTTGTATTTCTGTGTGTGTATCTTCCTGCTATTATGTTTATTTGATTATATATCTGAGTATCTTCCTGCTAATTATTTTATTTATGTATATTTCTTTGTGTATCTTCCCTCTTATATGTGTATGTTTATATTTATATAGATTATAATTCTGTATGTGAGTATCTCTTGCTATGCGAGTGTACAGTTGTTAATTGTACAAGTGCAAGTACGTCATGACGTTCATGAGACATTTGTATTGTATGAAATCACTAGAATTGGTGTGGTCCATGTTTGGAATGCAAAAGGAAGGTCATGAGGGACTGTAATGAAACAAACCATTAAAGCGGGCGAGTCCCCACATTCGGAGTACATGTTTCTGTCTTCAAAGGTTGTGCAGAGCAGAGCAAAGCCAGGTCGAGTGAGGGCATGCATCTCTCCGCGCACCGAAAAAGGTAAAGTCCGAAGGGATGATCGGAAAGCGAGCGACCTTTTGTGTCCTATGCTCAGCTTTTAGCACCCGTCTCCTCTCTCCAACAGTAAAAAGTATTCCCGTCGTCCCCTGCACGATTTAATCGGAAATAGAGCATTTTCTACTGATGGCCTTATTTTGGTGGGGTGTGGCGATGCAGCCAGCCAGCCAGCCAGCCAGCCAATAGCAGCAGCTGCAGCAGCTGGTGCAGTCTCTGGCTTGCTCTGAGTGTGACGACCGACCCCCTTTGCCGTTGAAGAACTGGATGGAGGCGAGGAGGAAGGAAGGTGGGGGAACAATGTCTGACCAAGTCCGTCCGTCGCTGTCTCTTTCTTCCTTGGGGCCAAAAGAATATCTCATCATTCTCATATCCACCCGAGTCGGCCCGACCCTACCAGGCCTTCAGAGGAAGTTCTGTCCTGTCCATCTGTAGGTTTGTCAGACAACATACATGCACCAGTCTGCCTGCTCTGCTCTGGTCTGCACTGCACTGATCTGCTCTGGCCCGGCCTGGCCTGCTGGAGTCGTGAACTACATTGCAATTGTTGGACCTGTACAATGTTATGCATAATTTCCATATAACGGTTTCCCCTAGTCAAGCGAAAATATATGTGAAATCGAAATGATTGGGCCCGTTGAAAGACTAGAAAAACTCTTATGCCCCGGTACAATCTGCAGAATTTACAACTCGACCTGATCTTCTGATGATGAGGGTGAAAACATAGGACTCGGTTCTCTGTTTTCACCCCTGTGTGTCGCTCGGCCGTGCCCGGGTGTACTCTTCTTTTTTTCTCTCTTTCTTCACGCCTGCGTTTTCGTCTGTAAAAAGGTCTTACCCCTCATCATTGCTCGTAGACCAGCTCCAGAATCGAAATCTCTAACAATGCATCTTAAACTTTATAAATTGCGTATCATAATTGTGATCCTGTCTCACTCCGTGTGGGCTGGATCATGATATTTACAGCGTCCATCCGACTGCTATATCTCTCTCTCCTGAGAGTCATGTCCTGGGAAACTAGCGCCTCGTTTCTGCAGCACAAGGGGCTGATGTTTTTTACCTCTTTCTCTGCTATCCATGCCAAAAGTTGCAGTGGCTCTCAGGGCACGGACTGCCCACTTCTGCCCCCTCCTTGCTCACTCTCTCAATCTGTCCCGTCAAGCTCCCCGACGCGAGACAATGATCTTGTACGGGTTATGTTCCTGATTGCTTCCAAACGAATCCTGGATTTACTTCATAATTGCCATATTTGAAAAAACATAGATTTCTTGTCGGTACTAATAATGATCATACAGCTAATCATTAGATAATAATAATAAATTTAAATTTGTTTTGTTCGTATCAATATATTCATGTTCACATCTATGCACATATAATTTTTATTATAATATAAAAAAAATTTATTTAAAAATATTAATAATAAAATATATTATTTTCATTATCTACATCGGATCACTTAAAAACACCTTGAGAAACTATTCATCATTAAACCGTACATTAAATATGATTCGGTTCCATAATAGATATGTATGGACATAAGATTGAGCAAGAAGAAGTATAGTTTCATTGAATAATGATTAATTATGCAAATCTAAATATGATTGTGAACGTCAAAATGAAAGTAAAATTAAGGAAAAAATGATTAGTTACACACATCTAAATATGATTCTGAGCTTCAAAATGAAAGTAAAGTCAAGGAAGAAATCCCGTCATTTGCATTTCCGACACAGATATTGAACATTTTAGTATGACTTTCCATGTGACGTAAACAATTCAATTGTTCTAAATAAAATGGAATTTCTTTTGTCTCCCGTGAGTCTATGTAAAAAAATAAAAATAATTGCAATAGTCACCAACGAGAGAAGGACTATACATATCAACATTTATGCAGCTGTTCTTGAAAGGCACCATGATATGCTTTACTGCTCATCATTATCAGCTTGGAAAAGCTAGCTCCATATCTTCCTTTTGTTGAGCTAGGGTTTAGGCCGAATCTGAGGTCGTGAGCACGAGCGAGGCTTATTGGAGAATGAATAAATGGCAATGTGCGTAGTTTTGAAAGGCGAAGGTTGGGGCAATATAATTGATTCGAGGACCACAAAAGAAATCGAAAAAATATAACATAACTCAAGGGAAAATGAAGAGAGCCATGATAAATGGACGTGATCATTAAAATGACACATCAATTTAATATAGCGGGATGCTCGAGTGTGAACTAGAACACTCAAATCTCTCTCATCTGGTTCCCTGGGAAATTGGACGCAGTGATGCTTGCTCGGATCTTTGTATCTACAATAAAGCGAGTGATATGGGTCATGGTAGGCAGGATATGTTTTCAAAGCCAATTTCTGTGCATCATTTGCTACCCTCAGAAAGGTGATGTCAAATGTACAAGGACGAGTACAAATTGCCGCGTGTGATTATTATTATATAGGGTTGTTGCAATAGTGGGCAAAGGTCGACTCTGCTGTGGCTGAAGTCCGGGCCAGCTCTGGGTAAAGCTCACTTATATGAAGGCTGCCAAAAGGTACAGCACACCACAAAATTGTGGGTATTCTTTATATCCACGGTTTTGTTTTTTAATATCCACGTCTATAATAGAATTGGCTCTCCGCAGTCCCACTGTTTGAGGTGGAAGTCTGAGTTTCATCCACTCTGAAAGTCCAGTTTGTCTTGATGTTGTCCTTTCCAAATGAGGGCGAATAATTAATAATGTCAACAAAAAAACGCCAGGCATGCAGCTCATACCTTTTATAAAACATTTATAAGCTTTATTAGTGAGATAATGATTTCATTCAAATTTAAACCTTGGAATATCATCTCGAGATATTCAGAAGTCACTTATTCAAAACTAATGAAAGAAACATGTTAACAAAACTTAACAACAAAGTAATATTTAATAATGTCTTGAATACAGGATAACCTGGTTCAAACGCAACACCATATAGACTTCAGTCAGGATAAATTCAGTGCTATTTACCAAACTTTGCAGTTGCATGTGTAAATACGCTGCAAGCATCATTTACGCCAGACTTATGAGATTAGAGCTATATGCCGGAGCAAACTCGATAGGAAAGTATGACATAATAAGATAATCAGCAAACAAAGTAGCTACAAGCATCAAATACAAAACCGTTTATACTATGTTAGTGAATTGCCCACGTTAATCAGATGCAGAACTTTGGAGTATTTTAAAATATCAAGGGGTATAGACGATGTTCGTGAAGAATGTTGTACTATGAGATAAGACGACAATGTAGGATGTTATAGTAGACTATGTATCTACTAAAAAGTAGAGAAATACTAAGCAAAGTTTCTAGCTATAAAGCTGTACCAAAGAGAACATGTTAAATTGACATGCGAGATTTGGAGTTGTGTACATATATAGGTGGTTCTGACAATGATCATATGAATAAGGAAAACATATAAAAAATACATGGACAATCATTCACAACAGAAGCAACAACAAACATATTTGGAAAAGTATAAATTAGCAAAATGCATGAAAAATTCAAACTTGAGAAGTAATCATAATGAAAATTCTTTGATTTCAAATTCTGTGAAATTTGAATTATTTTACAAGTTTCGAAGTCTAAACAA